GTGCACTAGTAAGTTTATAAATTTTAGGTGTCATGAGAATTAATGGGCTACTCCTGATTTGTAAAGGCAACTTCAGGGTAGAGTAAATCTGCTGCTCCCAAAATCTACTCCTCGCTAACCTTAGAGTGTCTAGTGGGGGCCGCAGAGGGGAAGAACCAATGCTGAAGCAGTCCTTGACTGCCACCTAATGGCTAATGGGGGTGGACTCCTCCCTGTCTCCCCAAATGAAAACCACCTTGGGATCCCACACCCTTTCTTGCCTGACTCAGAGGCCAGGCCACAGAAAGGGCTCTGGGTAAGTGCAATGATGAGCTGACCACTGGCTTCATGCCTGGTGGGGTTGTGGCCTGAGGGGGCAGTTTCTGGGCCTGGCCTGGAGGGACAGTAATGTCACAGAGAAACTAAAGCAGGGAGGCATTGAGAGACACATGGATATAGCAAAGATACAAAAATAAAGATGCCAACAACTTAAGAGACCCAGAGGGATGAGAGAGAGACAGACAGTCTCAGACAGATTCAGAGAGCAACAACAAGCAACATTCGGAGAGACAGACACACAAAGCTGCTGGCAGGTGGGAGGACGTGCCAAACAGGAAGCGCCCTGTTGTTCCCAGACTTCCAGGTAGTCCTCCAGCCTCATCCAAATGCACCTTTCAGAAGGTCCTGGCACTCAATTCCTAGTCCTTTCTGAGACTCATTGGTACAAATTAGCTTATTTCAGGGCTTTCCCTGGGACAGGCTGAGGTGCCACCTCTGCTGTGGCAGGTCCAGATTTACAGTTTCTGAAACCCGGCAGCCACTGTCTCTTTGCCCTTCTCTTTCTCCTGGTGAGTGTATTTCCCAGGTCTCCTTCATATACATAATGTATATTTTCTTATACATAAAAACCTCTGTAGGGACTTCCCTGATGATGGCTAAAACTCCACGCCCCCAGCAGCCGGGGCCTGGGGACCAGGGAACTAAATCCCATATGCTACAACTGAAGATCCTGCACACCGCATCTAAGACCCAGAACAGCCAAATAAATAAATAAATACATATTTTTTTAAACTTCAGTAGGGACTTCCCTGGCAGTCCAGTGGTTAAGGATCTGTGCTTCCAGTGCAGGGGGCACAGGTTCCATCCTTGGTCAGGAAACTAAGATCCCACAAGCTGTGTGGCTGGGCTGAAAAGTTTGAAAAAAAAAAATTCTGTAGCACTTTGCCTGGAGAAAACAAAACTGACTATGGGTTTCCTCCCAACTGACTCTGTTCTGCTGAGGCATAAAGAGCTGTGAATTTGGAGGGTCCAGGGATTTCTCCTGGCTTGCTAAAGACCCCTGACTGACTGATGAAAAACAGGATCTGTTTTAACCCACCGTGGACACCTCGTGGCTTCATCTGCCCCATGCAGTCTGCTAATTTTTGTGTTGTGTTCCAGGACCACCTCCTTGCTGGCACTTAGCAAGCTCCTGGAGAACGGGGGGTGAGTTAACAACGGAGGGACTTGGGAAGGTAGGAAATGTCAACTCCCAACTTCAGTTCTCCTGCATTCTCTTCTCACTTTCCCACCTGGTCTCACCCTGAGGCCACTGTCTGTGGCCTAGAGGCCTAGATTACGTAAACTGACCTTCTGGATTCTAATTCTTTCTTTTTGACTTTTTTGGCCACTCCACACAGCACACAGGATTTTAGTTTCTCAGTCAGGGATGGCACTTGCACCCCCCTGCAATGAAAGCACGGAGTCTTAACCACAGGACTGCCAGGGAAGTCCCCTGGATTCTAATTCTGATCCTACCACTTACCATCTGGCTGTCCTTGCTTCCACTTCCCCCAAGATAAGACAGAATACTAACATGGACCACTTCATAACATTGTCGTGAGGATTCAGTTAATACTGCAAAGTGTGGCACTGAACAGAGTTAAAACTTGGGACTTTGGAGTCAGTCTGGCCTTGGGGAATTCATTTAATCCTTCCAAACTTCCATTTCTCATCTGTAAAATGGGCACACACTTTGGAATATTAACCCTGGAAGTCCAGTGGTTAAGACTCAGTGCTTTCACTGCCCTGGGCCTAGGTTCAATCCCTAGTCCAAGAAATAAGATCCCACAAGCCATGCAGTTAAAAAAAAAAAAGGAATTGTTCTGTTATTCTAAATACATATGAACTTTCACACAAACATATTATGTTCATACTTTGTGTTATTTTTCTTAGAACTTTCAGCACTGAACCGGTTTCAGCTCCCACTTCCAACAACTGCCCTTGCCTCACTTCTGGGGCTGGTATGTTTGTGCTCTGAGGGCCTTAAGTGGGGCATTGCTGCTGGGCACCATGTTTGCACTATTCCACTTTTCAGAAGCAATGCCTCTTGTTTCCCAAGGCAAGTATGCCAATTTAGAAATCAAACTGAGATCCTGTGCACCCCACTCTGCCCAAGCCTAGTATCTTTGAAGGTCTTAGTCACCATGGATGAAAAAGTAGAATACAGCAAACTCCACCCAGTTCTAGTGGCAAAACTGGTTCTCCAAGTGCTGCGTGGTGGAGCAGAGATGGCTTCAGACCCTCTCTATGGAAAATTCCAATGTTGATCATTAGAAGTTAATATATTAATACTTTACTAGTTTATTAAGAACTTAAAGACTTTATCCATGAAACTACAAGACATTCTACATGACAGGAGGAAAAAGTGCTACACAACTTTTAAAATATGATTTCCCATTGTTCACTAATCTTCAACTTCAGTAGTTCATTTTAATTTGGTAAACATTTCTGGGAGGAACTTGTCATCCTGTTTTGTAGTCTGACTGGAGTAGAACAGAACAGTAGCTCTCTTTGTTTGGTAACACTGCCTAACATGTAACTGCAAAACATTAGGGGACTTTTAGATGAGCTACTGTATTGGATACAGCAAAGACTTTGTCAAGCTTTGATTGCTTTTGAATCCAGATTTCAGGTGGCCACAAATTCTATGCATTCTTTATCTTCCAGGCAAGGTTCTAGAAACTACTGACATTCATAGTCATATTCAGTGCTAATAAACAGAATTAGACCCCTTCCAATCATAGTGTCTTTGGTCTATTAAGCTACTGTTTTCAGCTTTTCAACCGTAACATTCAATGCCAGTAAAAACATTCTTTTATTCTATTATTGCCAAATAAGTAAGTAATGCTCTTTATCAGACACTTAATCTTATTTTAACTAACTTATACAAAGATGTGGATAAACAAGTTTAAAGGAGAGACATTTCTTGGAATGAGAGCAACTTGATCTAGATAAGAGACCCTTTTCATAAATTATGCTCTAATCTGAAATCTGGGTATGTATTTGACTTCATTGGCTCAGTTTAACAAGGGTGAAATGGGCAAAGGGAAATTTATGACTATGTCAACACAAATATTTTTAAACCCATATTTCTAACACTGACCAATTCTAACCTTCTAAGAAGGTAGTCTCTCTCCCCCATCACCATATAACTTAGCTGCTTTATATGTCTTCACTACACTCGTCAATGTCAATCAATACTTGAAATATTATACCAGCTTTTTTCTCTTTCCTACTCATCCTCATCATGTCAGCCGTTCAAGGCAGAAGCTTTGCATTACCCAGTTGGAACCCTCAGTTCCTGGAAAAAGTGCCAGAACAGTAGTAAAATTCAAGACAGACATTGAATCAGTGAATACATACCAAGTAATTATATTAGAATGAAAATACTTTGAAAGACATAAGACCAAATTATAACATTAAATTTAAAAAACATCATAGGGACTTCCTTGGTTATCCAGTGTGATGAAGATTCTACCCTTCCAATGCAAGGGACACTGGATCAATCCTTGGTTGGTGAACTAAGATCCCACATGCTGTGTGGCGAGGGCAAAAATAAATACATAAATAAGTATATACTTCAATTTTTTAAAAAAGCACAGTACACATAGTACATGTATGTACATGCATGCTAAGTTGCTTCAGTCATATCTGAAACTCTTTGCAACCCTATGGACTATAGCTTGGCAGGCTACTCTGTCCATGGGATTCTCCAGGCAAGAATACTGGAGTGGGTTGCCATGCCCTCCTCCAGGAGATTTTCCCAACCCAGGGATCTAACCCACATCTCCTGTATTGGCAGACAGACTCTTTACCACCAGTGACACCTGGGAAGCCCAGTACATATATAGTAATACCAACTTTCCCACAATTGGCATGTTAGTGCAAATAAAATACACATTTATCGACACAAAATACCTAAACAGATAGGCATCAGCCTAAAATTCACATAAGCATGCACACCAAAAAGAAATACACACACACACATATCTCCAATATACATTGAAACTGTACAATTTAAATGGGAGAATTGTTTGGTATGTGAAATCAAAGCTGTTTTTAAACCACATTCAAAATAAAATCACATGCATAGTTTAACGTGGAGAGCGGTGGTTAAAAGAACTGGTTCTGGAGCTGTCACTTCCAGTTGTGAGGTTGGGTGCTTCTTTTTTATTTTTTTTAATTCATTTTTAATTTGAAAATAATTGCTTTATAATATTGTGTTGGCTTTTGCCATAAACAACTTGAATCAGCCATGGGTATACATACGTCCCTTCCCCCATGAACCTCTCTCCCACCCCTGACCCCATCCCACCCCTCTAGGTTGTCAGAGCACTGAGCTCCCTGTGTTATACAGCAACTTCCCAGCATGCTTCTCTTAATCTCTCTTCACCTAGTTTTCTCATCCTGAAACAAGGTGAGAGTCTTCTCTGGAAAGGTTGCGATGGTGACATGAATTAACGTGGGGAAAGTGGTGGAAAGTAGCCTGCCAGGTGGCAAGCACTCACCAAGGCTGCCACTGTGGATACACCCAGAGTGCGGGGTGCTAGTCCCCTTACCCTTAAGAAGGTCATCATCTGAGGGGGGTGACACACATCAATAGATAATCCCCATTATGATGTGCTCAGTGGTGGCCTGTGTGACCGGGTGGATAAAAGAGTGACTTTTCAGGGAATTCTGAGATAAGAGACAGGGTTGGCTATGGGGGAGGTGGCACAATGGAAAGGTTTATTTCAGAAGTGGTTGACTGGGTGGTGTGTCCAGGAGGTACTTCAATAATAAGGTCGAGGGCTGAGGAGTATGGTTGAGAAACGTGAGCAGCAGTTGGACAAGAAAGCTAAGAGACCCCTGGGGGACCGCTAACAGAAGCGGAGTGAAGGGTCGATGAGGAATGACATCTCCCGGTATCTGTTTTGGGAACCCTTGAGCTTCTCTCCTCTCGCACAGGTTTTCATCCTCACTCTTCGAAGGGCCTTCTCAAATGCAAATTAACAATGTCTCTCCCCTGCTTGAAGCCCTCCCTCCCAAGGTCCACTGCCGGCTTGCTGGCCTCACTCTCTGCGGTCCGCCTCCACGGCTCGTCCCCCTCCTCCTCGGCCTCCTGAGCTCATTCGATGCGCTGTCCCTTCACTTCAGCTGTCTCTCACAGCCTCTTAAGGACCCAGGTCCGGGAGACTGCGGCCATCTCGGCGGCAGGAACGGATAAACGGGTGAACAAAGGCTCCAGAAACGACTTAACCAGAACCCCTACCGTTACCTGCTGACGCAGAGGAGAAAGGAAAACTGCGCACGCGTAATAGGATGGCTGCTTGACAGCCACTCGCGAGAACCCAAGTAGGGCCAATCCGCACGAGGATGAGCGGGATCGCTTCCACGCCAGAAAAGCCCTGCCCACACGGCCTGGGCCCGTGCCTGCGCCTCACAGGCGGCTTTGCCCAAGGCCCCACCTCAACTCCCTTTCCTTGGTGCCGATTGGCTGGAAGTCATCATAGTCCTGCTCCGAATGGCTGTTTCTCGGCCCCCTGCATGAGGGATAGTGGGTATGGATGGCTTCTTGGAAGGACATCCTAAAAGTCAATGGAGTCTTTTTGACTGGAGTTGGCCGAAGAGAGCCAGGCAGTCACTGACAGCCGCAGAGACCTCCACATCCCCATTCTTGAGACACCCCACCCCCACATCGTTTCAGTATCCCCTCGTCTGGAAGGCTCTTAGATCGCGCAAGGTGACGGGCCCATCCTGCCGCCTCCCAAATGGGGAGTCAGCCTAGACCGAGATCCAGGGAAAAGCCCTCAAACTGCCGCAACCCTTCAAATGGCCTCCCCTGCAGCTTGTCTTAGACCTATTCACCTCCTGCTCTCGCCACTGGTAGGCAGGTCAGCGAAGTCAGGCTTCCTCCCTCCACACGGTCCTCAAAGAAAGTGAGACCCAGATCTGTGAGCGAGGAGCCCAGCACCCTGAGCGCGCACGGAGAGGGACCTGTGGAGCATGCCAGCCAATGAAGTTAAATACATACCCAGACGTGAAAGAGACAGGAATAAGAACAGGGGGGCTCCTGAGGGAGACAGCACAGAAGTGGTCCAGGTGGGAGTTCAGTATTTCTGACTGGGAGAAGCCTCAGAGAGTTTCTTTGTCCTTGTTCTCTCATGAATGAGGTCTTTTCTCTCCTCTACCAGATTCATCAAAATAGACAATCAGCTTTCTACTGACGCGTGTGACATTCAGTCTATCTTCGAAGGCAGGAAAAAACACTCCCACTCTGTGCCAGGCATACTAGCCACTTCCCTTTTATCTCTGGCCAACCTTAGCTAATTCCTGTTTTAGTATCTTTCTTCAGAAAAATTAATGACTTTGAGGATGCATCTATGTTCTCCGCAGAGTAACTGGTAATGCTTTGAGAAGGGGAAAAGTGTAATTTGGGAGTATGAAGAGCTTTGGCAGTGATTGACATGAGCAGAAGAGAGACTCCTGGGTGTGAGTGCTGATTTTCAGGTGGCCACTCTTGGCAACAGACTTCCCTTGTTCCACACAAGGTCCTTTGTATCATTTGCAGCACTGAAGTCCAGAAAGGGAAGGGAGAGTTCAGAGCTGGATCTTGCTGCATTCTCTCTTTTGACTTTTGATACCTCTAGGCTGTCATCTGCATCCCTCCGACTGAGGCTGGCTCTCCATCACCCACTCCTTCGAACCTTTCATCATCAGAGGTTTGATTTCCCTGTAGATCTCAGTTCCTCCCACCAAGCTCCCAATCTGGTAGATAAGAAATCAGGCCCAAATGGATGGTTCCAGAAATTCTGATAAGGAATGCATGCCCAAGAAGCAGGGCAAGTAGCCAGATCTCCTTGAAAGTGACTTCCTGAAAACAGCCTTCACTGCCAGATCAGTCCCTCAGGAATCACATCTTGAGAGAGCAATTGTTCATCCTAAATACTCCAAACAAATGAGACACCTTTTTTTTTTTGTTTTGTTTTTGCATGAGGTTTGGGAGATCTTGGTTCGCCATCCAGGGATCGAACCTGGGCCCCTTGCATTGGGAGCTTGGAATTTTAGCCAGTGGACCACCAGGGAAGTCCCCCGGAGACAATTCTTAATAATATACCAAGCTTGTAAAGTTTTCTACATGCACCTTCATGATCACTTATAAGCACTGAGTTTAACATCTAAGAAGCTAAATTCATTAGTTTCAGAACTGACTGATGCTGCTTCCAGTGTGGAAAGCACTGTTGCCCACCACTGAGTGTGTGGCCAGCCTTTGGGGCCTCTCAGATGGGACAGAAGCAACACTCAGTCTTAATGCACCTACACCGAACTCTGGCAAAAGAGAGAGATGAGGTGGTAACTCACCGTTGTGCTCATAGAAATTACACACAGGTAGCTGGGCTCCCTCTCCCTGGTTCTGTCCTGGGCCCAACCTGTCCTCTACCTTCAACCAGTGGCAATAATACCTGACACAGGTGTTTTCCTTCTACCTGGTAAAGGTGATAATATCTCATGGTGATAGAGATGGGAATGGAGGATCCTTCAAGTGGGCAGCAGCTTCAGGATGGAGTAAAAGTGCTAGAACCTTCTGGAGAAGTGGATCTGAGGTCTTTTTCATACTTCCTGGAGATCTTTCCAAGCACTTGGGACTTCAACAGTCCTCTTCCTACAAATGCTTGCTTTCTTGCTGTTTATTTCTCACATGTTGAGTGTGAAAACTTGAGCTGAATTTCCACTTTGCTACCAGGGCATACAATGTAACCTTGAGCAAGACTTTTATCTTCTCTGGAGCACAGTTTCTCTCATGCTGCAGGGCTCACTGTGTGAATACAAGGGCCATTCCCAACTACACAAATAGCTCCTGTGAACTGAGCAGCATAATCAGATGTCATCATCACAGCACATACTCAGAGTCAGCTTAGTCATAGTTCCCACTTCATGGATGAGCAAACAGGCTGGGAGAGGTAAGTTGCTCAAGTGCATATAGCAAGTAACTAACAGAGCCTGGGGTTGACTTCAAGGTATGCACTATTAGTGGTTTTTCTGAATCTTGAGTTTCACAGACTGTCCTTACATGGGGCCTGGGAGGCATTCATTCCACAAATACAAATTGAGGACCAGCCATGGGTCAGCCCCTTGCCCCTGCAACATCTCCACCCCAAATATCAGGTAAGTCCTGTTGTTACTGCAGTTTAGAGGAGAGGGAACTGAGGCTTGGAATGAAGGAGCTGATTGAGATCACCCAATGAGCTAGTGGCAAGCTGGGGCCAGCTCTTTCTGGCCCCAGAGGCCCTGATTTAAACTGTACGAACTGAGTCAAGAATAGGAAGCACCATATAAGATTTTCGTGAGGAGGTGCCACATGTTTGCACTAGGAAGGTCCTCTCTGAATCCTTCCCACCCCTGTCTTTCAGGCTCTGTCCTGCCCTCTGACCCTCAGCACTGTAATCCGCTGATGGCCTCCTATCCTCAGTGACTCAACAATTCAATCAAAATCTATCAGTATCCATGACTGGGCATTGGGAGGGAATAGGGAGGCAACAGTCCTGTTTCAGTTGGTCACCATGCATTGGAGAAGAGGGTAAAAAGAGAGGAATTAGGGAGGGGAGACAGGAGAATAGAGAGGCCTGGGGTCATCCAAGGTCAAGGGCACAGGTAGAAGGCATGTGGCAGGGTAAGGGACAGGAAGAGAATTTAGCCAGGCATGGGGTCCACAGAGGCAGGTGGCCCACTCTTCATCTTGGGGCTGGTGGTCCTCCTCCTGCCCCCCACCTGGCCACCACCCTATCCTACACCCCTGCCCCCAGGTAGTAGGCAGGAACTAAGGACCTGGCGGGTGGTTTTGATTCCACCTTCTGCCCCCCTCCACCCACAGCTAAGTGGTTGTCAGGGCTGGTCAGAGGGTGGGCCATCTTAAGGGGCACCCATCAGCCCCATTTATTCCCCTCAATGAAACCAGTCCAAGGAAAAGCAATGAGACCACTGAGCAAATGGAGCCTCAAGGCCTGACTCTTTGTTGACACCATGTTTCTGGGACACTCCCCTAAAGAAGTTCTGGAACCTCTACTTTAGGTCTAAGTACCCAGAAACATCCTGGTCCCCTCCAGCACCTTTCTGGACCTCTCTTTTAGGGTCCAGGTGAGCTAAAGAAGCAGAAAGCCCACCTTCTCCTCATAAGAAGGGTCTGGGGCCCAGCCCACCCCCCCACCACTGCCTTAGACTCTGAGCAGGCCTGGGTCCCTCACTCCGCTGTCCACTGGGTGTGGCAGTCTCCTTTAAGAGCACACTGGGGAGAAGGAGCTGCAGGAATCTCAAGGAATCTGACCAGTTCCTTCTGCCTGATAGTATTGTTGCCCTGGGCAGGCGGGGCCGCGGGCTTAAAAAACCGGAACCCACCTGGGCTGGACGCAGCCCTAGAAGCCTCCTCAGACCAGCTCTCTGCACCCAGCCGGCTCTCAGGTGAGCTCAGGAGAAGCCTCTCAGGTGAGTAGGTTTCTGCTAGGACTTCAGGACTCCTAGGCAGAGGGGTGGAAGTGGAGGGGTGGTCTGGGGTACCAGTCTGAGAAAGGGTATGATACATGCCTAGGTATTCCCAGTAACAGATGCTTTCGAGGGTTTGGAGGACTGCCCTGTGAGCACCATCACGTGGAAGGTGGGTTGGGGGCTGGAGGAAACAGGAAGCAGTCTTTGGCTAAAGAGTAAAGGGGAGTTGCAACCATGATCCATGATCTTGGATTCATGATCCAGGAATTCCAGGGTGATAGAAGGGGCAGGGAGAGACAGGCCAATGGAAGGCCTGGTTTACAAATTGCTCAAAGCCAAAAGACCCCCATGTTCCGAAGGAGCAGCTTAATAGTCCTGACTTCCTACTGCAAAAGGATCCATGTACTTGTGTAACATGTTTTAGTACTTATTATGTGTTTAGCACTATTGTTAGGCTCAACATATAGTAACTCATTCGATTCAAACATAACCTTAGGAGGCTGCTCTTATAATTATACTCATTTTTACAGGCACTGAAGCACAGACAGGTTAAGTAACCTAGCTGAGTCACACAGCTATTAAGTGCTGAGAGAGGAATTCTCCGGCTAGCTGGGCCCAACACGTAGAAACTGGGGTTGGGATTTGGAACACTGACAATCCCTATGCCTGCCTGAGGCCAATAATAGGCAGAAAGCTGGGAGCATCTTATCTCAAGGACACAGCCACCCTAGGACTGATAAATGAAGACGGGAATAGTTCCCACCCTAAGGAGAAAGAAGGGGCCATGTCCCAGCCACCAGGCACTTTCCTGCTAACAGCAGTCTGTACTCGGAGAGTGGAATTTGAGGCTACCTGGATTATGGTCCTTGGCCAGGGCTGGGGTGGGAGGCATTTGCCTGCACCCAGTATCTGCCCCCAACTCCTCCGCTTTCCCTGTCCCACCACTCACTCAGAGGAGTTCTAGGCATGCCCTATGTGTGCATGCTCAGTCGTGTCTGACTCTTCGAGACCACATGGACTGTAGCCCACCAGGTTCTTCTGTCCATGGGATTTCCCAGGCAAGAATACTGGAGTGGGTTGCCATTTCCTTCTCCAGGAGACCTTCCCAACCAAGGGATCAAATCCACATCTTCTACATTGGCAGGAGGGTTCTTTACCACTGCCCTCCCTCGAAAGTCCGGGCATGCCCTAGCTGGAGGCTGTCTTGGACTTCAGCCTGGTATTGCCCCAGGCCCAGATCTTTGGAAACAATACCTCAAGTCCTTTGAGCTGGGGATCAGGAAGGCAGGCACCAAAGCCTGAGTTAGAGCAGTCGCCCTCCTCCTGAAGGTGTGTCAGGCATCTGATTACCAGATTTTAACAAAACAGACCTCAAATGGCACTTACTACTGGGTTGGCCAGAAAGTTTGTTTGAGTTTTTCCATCAGATGATACAGAAAAACCTGAACAAATTTCTTGGGCAACCTAATATGTGCAGGCATCGCTCTGCAGCTGTATTAGAGCCACAGTATTACAAGTATTAGAGGTATTACTATTATTAACTCTAGACAAGGACACAGAAATTAGTACTTTCTCATGTCTACCCCACAAGCAGCCTTGAGATTTGTGCCACTGGGCTCCATTGTTGTGGGGCTGGTCGGGGCTGTCTGACCCCAGCCTGCTCTCTTCTCCTGCAGACTGGTCCTGCGTGCCGCTGTGTCATGGAGGGAGTGACCCGGGCCCTTCTCCTCCTGTTGGCTGGTGAGTCCTCCCAGAGGCAACCCTGCTGCCACTCACTCACCTACCAAGGCTGTGAAAACCAGGACAGCATCTCATAAAGGGCACCTGACGTTGAATAAAAGGGTTTTCATTTAGACTGCCAACTTAAACATAAAGGAAGTACTGAGTTGGCCAAAAGGTTTGTTCGGGTTTTCCGTAGATCTTACAACCCAAACAAACTTTTTGGCCAACCTGATTACAGTAAGGTAGATGTTCCCAACATTATCCTGAATCATGGAACTTGGGGAAATTGTAATCACCTGTTGGCAAGAAGAGACCAGTGTTCCCTGCTTCTTTAGGAGGCAGACCATTAGCCAGGATCTGGGTAGGAAGCTTTTCAGGAGAGGGTAAAGACACCAACACACCATCCCATTTTGAGTTTAAGAAAGAATAACAGGAAGCCTGAGAAATAGCAGGAAGGGCTGGGAGGGGGAGCGGGACACAAAGGCCAGAAAATAGGAGACAAAATTCTAGGTCTGTTTGGGTTGGGGGAGGTATGAGGAGGGGAATCAGTGACCTTAGGGTCCCCACCCCCACCCCCCACTCCGGTGCCCCAAGCAAGGCTGGTTGATCTTTTGCCTCTGGACTGGGGTCCTGCCTGCTGACTCATTTTGAGACCAGTATCATGAATTAACACCCAGTCCCTCTGCTTCTCTCACCCAGGACTGCCTGTCTTGGATGCCAGCGACGTGGTTGGTGAGTGAGGCCCTAAACTGCTCTGCTGGCCCTGTCCCCACATTTTCTCTCTAAGACCCCACATCTTGCCTTCTGGTTCTGGTCATTAATTTTTTTTTTTTTTTCCTTTCCTGCAGATAAAGACAGTCCCTTCTACTATGGTAAGAGCTGATATCCCTTGCCCCTGACCCCTACCCTTGCCTATGCTAGACCCCTTTGCTAGAGTTGGTAAGGGGTGATGTGGAGCCCAGTGTAGACAGAGCGGGGCTTGAGGGAGTGGGCAAGGAGGGGCAGAATGAGGATGAGACTGGGAATTAAAGAATCAGCATATTGGATCAAAAGAACGACAGACCAACATGTAACGTCATCTTTGTGAGAACTTCCCTCCAGCAAGGAGGTAAGAGGCCTGCAAGATGTTTAGGAAGACTCCTGGGAAAGTGGCTGAAGGCAGCTGGCTGATCTCCTTCCTTTCACTCCCTCTTCTCTTGCCTTCCCCAGGACCAGCTCGTTGCTGCCCTACAACCCCCGTAAGCAAGTGTCCTCTCCTTCTGCCTGCCACTGTCCCCCACACATCCTCATCTTCCCTGGGTCTCAGCTCAAATGCCACCTTTCAGCAAAGCCTTCCTTGATCACTCTTCAAAGCCTCTTCTTTTTCTGTGCATTTCTGCTTGATTTTTCTTCCTAGTACTTGTTCCCACCAGATATGACATGATGTATTTATGAGTTTGTCCTGCTTGTTGCCTGGAATTTAAGTGCATCTGCATAAGCAGGTGTGCATAACTATCTGTTGAATGAGTGGGGTGGAGCCAGGCTGATGCCAGCCCACTCTCCATTCCTCTAGACTGGGAAGGCCTGCAGCTGGGCGGGATGATCTGTGCGGGCCTCATGTGCATCGCTGGACTCTTGTTTGCCCTGAGTGAGCAGTGGGACTAGCAGGGTCGGGTGGAGGTGGGGAGCGGGCGGGAGGAGGGTGGCCCAGGCTCTCTGGGCTCTTTGCACTGGCTGTGTCTTCCTTCACAGGTGGCAAATGCAAATGCAAGAACAAGCAGAAGCACGGGTGAGACAGGGCCCTGTTTTGTGTCCTTTGAGCTAGGCAGAGCAATTTGGGCATAATGTCCTACAATTTGGAAAAAGAGGACAGAGTCCTGGTTGTCCCTGGGTTTGCAGTAGAATTTGTTATTCACAGATAATCAACCCTGAGGGGGCCTCCGTCAGAGAAAGCTCTGATCCTTTGTACTGTTTAAATTGCTACCAGGAATCTTGGTGGGGGAAAAGGACAGAAAGTTTGAGGACGCTAATCTGATATGTTCCTTTCACAGCTCCTTACCTGAGAAAGCTGTTCCACTCCTCACTCCAGGTGAGATGGACTTCTTTGAGAGCCTTCCTGGCACTCAGGCAGTACAGCCATATAATTTGAGGATTAATACATGTTATGCTGTGTGTAAGGCAGGACTGTCCTGAACCAGTCAGCCTTGGGGATGCCTAAGGCTGAGGATGTGTCTATGGAGTTTGTGAGGACCTGACCCCACATTCTCTCCACAGGCTCTGCCAGTACCTGCTGAGCACAGGATCGGTTTCATGACCTTCCCTGCACCGGCTCCCATACTGTCCCCTTCCCCTTGGGGGCCTTACCCCCTCAAGATGGCTTTTCTCTCTGTGGGTGGGCCCTGAGGCTCCCTTCTGACCAAAAGGCTGTCCAGAGCTTATTTCTAAATTAAATTTCTCTCCCCCTCTGATGGACTTATGACCTTCTGTGGGCCTGGTCAGGGATGGGCAGGTTGGGACGAGATGATAAAATCTTGCTCAGCAAAGTCCAGACCACTCAGCTAGGGTGGGGTGGGGGATGTCCCATGGATGGCTGATGCATCTTGTGGCTGCATGTTTGTCCTGAAGCCCATTCCCAGCATTCCCCCCCCCCCCCACTTTGAGGACCTCCTGATAACTGATCTCCTGCCTCATCCATGCACCACACAAGACACTTCAACATTATATCAAAGAACATTACAATTTCCACACCTTGCCTGAAGACCTTAGAAGTCCCTGTGACCCAGATCCCCATGACTTCCTGTAACCTAGAATGATCCCCAGTGGTTTGCCCTCTGCTAAGACCCCAGCTCACCCAGTGAGTGTTCACACAATCCAGGAAATGCAGTTCTTCCTTCACTGACTCAGTCCAGTAAAACCCTTTATAACCCTTAGAGCAACCCATGGACCCTTCCCCTTACTCCAGGTAATGTCCTGTGAGACCTCACTATGAGCAACATCCCAAGAAGCCCTGCAGAGTGCATTTCAGAACCCAAAACCATCCATGCCACTCTGGGTCTCAGTATGTGCAAAGTCCATTCCTGGAATACCTTATTGAGAGGCCCCAGCCTGCATGGCATAGGGCTGGGGAAATGGCTTTTCCATCTTAGCAGCCTGTTCATCTGCAGCCTCACCCCTCTTGCCGACCTCCATACCCTAAGGTGGAAGGAGCTGAGGCCTACCCTGCCCAGCCCCTGCTCCTGGCAGAAACCCTGGGGTGGAGACAGGCCAGGGCAGCAGTGGTCTGCCCTGTCCCTGCCAGGCAGTGGCTCACAACCTGGGTCTGAATCTGAGCTGATGGGGCAGCCACCTGCCTTGATGTTGCTTCAAGCCACCTCAACTGGTGGCATGGAGTGCATGCTGTTGTGTCTGACTCTGATCCCATGGACTGTAGCCCGCCAGGCTCCACTGTCCATGGGATTTTTTGGGCAAGAATATCTGGAGTGGGTTACGGTTTCCTCCTCCTGGGGACCTTGCCAACCTAGTGATCCAACCCAAGTCTCTTGGGGCTCTTGCTTTGGCAGGCAGTTTCTTTACCACTGCACCACCTGGGAAGCCCCACCTCTACTGGTGTCCTACTCCAAACCTTCCATTTCCAGGGTGTTGGTACCAGATCCTCTGTAAAGTATACTGTGTCCAAGACCTGTGGGCTGGGGTTAGGGTGCCAGCACAAGGGATTCTAGAGGCTGAGGAGTCCGCCTTCTGGTCTCCAGCCCTCCCAGGTCCTGAGGTCTAAAAATGATCTGTTTAGGGCCCTTGATCAGGATACATAAGCAGGGTGAGGGGACGGTTCGAAGGCTGGCCCAGAGCTACAGCCATTACTCCAAGAACCTGAGTGGAACTCGGAATACCTGGCTGAAACTGGAGCCATTCACTGTCCAAGGTGAGTAGAGGAGCCCTAGTAGGGTGTTATGGGAGTGGACAGCTGTGCCAAGCTCATCGCCCACCCAGACAAAATCCTTTCAGGTTTTTAAGGCCTCAGCATTAGGAGTCGGATAGATACCATGAAAGAAGTAAAATGAGTGTGTTGCAGAGGCCCGGCTGCCTGGGCAGCGACGGGTGATGTGTCACGTCATGAGGTAACACACCTTTGAAGATGAGGGTCAAAGTGGAAAGGAGCCAGTCGTGCAAACATCCTTCCTGGTAGAGGGAACTTTGGCCTTTTTGTTTTTTGAGGATCAGAGGAAAGTCCCCGTGACTGGTACATAGGCGAGAACCCTCGCCAAATCCTGAGTAGAAATTCTAAGAGATCCGCAGCTGCGTAGGCAGCGGGACCAGGAAGAAGGCAAGGCGCAGGCGCGCCCAGGGGAGGGCGCAGCCCCGACGAGACATCATCTACCCAAAGGCGGTTTCCGGCCCCGCCTTTCCGTTTTGGGGAGTGGGCCACTCCTTGAACTGCTGGAGGCTGCTGATGTGAGTAACTGCACTGGAGAGTAAAATTAGCTCCGCCTTAAAAAAAAAAAAAAAAAAAAAGTCTGTGGCCTCACGTGGGGCTAGAGTGGCAGACGCGGATGCAGTATTGTCAGAACGCCCTCTTCTGACCAGCAACCGTTCTCTGAGAAAATTAGGTCTCTACCATCGCAAAGGGTGAGGTGCTCTTCTGTCTGAAATTCAGTCAGTATGAAGGAAAGCCCCATTGCTGCCAGGGGAACCTGAGTCACTTTGGCAAGAGTTTCAACCTCGATTGCCACCGGGGCGCCCAGCTCCGGAAGAGGCGTTTCTGGACGCAGCGTTCCACTTCCATCTTAACGTTTTGATTCGCCAGCTCCGATTCGTGGTGGAGACACACAGTTTTAATCTGCTTTCACCCCGCCAAACAGCCTAATTTCACCTAAACAAACTCCACAGTTTTTCTCACGCCTCATAATCCACTGAAGGGCACCATGTCCCCATAGTATGCCTTGTGCAGCTCCCTCACGGCCGAGTCGGTGAACCTGGCTTTGACCAATTACAGGGTCCCGCCTGGTGGTTTAGGTTGGTTCTACCTGTCCAAGGCTGAGGCACAGGGCTCATGGAGAACATCTGGGAGCCTGGGTTGATAATGGGTGGGAAAAGTCACGGACTGCGATGGGAAGGTGGGGGGAGAGGGCTATGTAGGATAGAGTTGATGTTAGCCTGGTGTGGCTGGCGCCTGGTGCTGATTCCCAAGAGAAGCTAGCTCTCCTTTTTCCCTCCCAGTAGGAAGGAGGAAGTGGGAAATGTTAGTCAGTCATAGGACGAGAGGAGTCTCTATTCAAGCTTCACCTTATGGAATTACTCGCTGTGCCTGAGAGATTCTCCTTCAAGCCCCTTCCACTCCCCACCCCACCCCCACCGCAGGAACAGGGGGTTGGGGATTGGGAGGAGGCTGACTTTTGTCATCTCCTAGATGAGGGCTGTCCAGGAAAGAACCAGAGAAAGCAAAGGGTTAATTTACACTTAATTGAACACTTAGGTCATTATGGGCACTGTTATAAACACTTCCTAACCACCTATGTGATGGGGATTTCATATCACGGCCCTCTGTGCTTAAGGGAAGACCTAGGTTCTCACAGGTCATCTTACTCCTGAGCCGTTTCTGAAGGACTAGGTTACACTGCCTTTTTGGTATTCACTATCTGAAAGAGAATCCACGTTCTGTACCTGCCAGGGGACACACACACACACAGACACACTATTTAAACAATCTTATTTTCTGATTGCAAGCATTTTTCATGCTTATTATCCAGAAAACTGAATAGTAGAGAGATATCTCAGAAGAGAAACAAATTCTTACTCAGCACTCAGAAATAAAGGATATAAGTTTTGATATATAATGATAATATTCTATAATTCTCTGGAGCTCCAGATTGTTGCATGAACCAGGAGGTCATTACTTTGTATTGCTGAGTAGTCCCAGGCAGTCCTCTTAAAATAAGGGAGGGCCTACTAATTTAAAGAGCTAATACGGTTTATTCTAAGACTAGTCATTTGAAAACACTGATATTTCTGTTCCACAGAGGGTAGCAGTCTTTTACCCTCAATTTCTATGTATGTGTTAGTCCTTCAGTTGTGTCTGAATCTGCGACTCGATGGACTGTAGCCCAATAGGCTCCTCCGCCCATGGAATTTTCCAGGTAAGAATACTGGAACGGGTTGCTATTCCCTTTCCTAGCGGGATCTTCCCAATCCAGGGATTGAACCTGGGTCTCTCGCATTGCAGGCAGATTCTTTACCATCTGAGCCACATGTAAATACTATAAAGCTCAGGGTAAGAAGTGAGGACTAACAGCTAACATGAGGGAGCATGATCCAGTTATCTTGGTTGGCCAATGGTTAGATCCTGTGCCAGATCCTATAAAGGGGTTTATCACTCAAGTCTCAACACAGCCATCAAAGGAGTATTAAGGTATGGTCAGATCTACTCAAAATGCACTAAAGATAACATATTTATCTTACAGAAAACCCCTTCAGCTGAAGCTCCAATACTTTGGCCACCTGATGCTAAGAACTGAGTCATTGGAAAAGACTCTGATGCTGGGAAAGATTGAAGGCAGGAGACGGGAGCGACAGAGGATGAGATAGTTAGATGGCATCACCGATGCGACAAACATGAGTTTGAGGAAAATTTGGACACAGGGAGAGAGAACAAAGAAGAACAAAGAAGCCGAGGAACACCAAGGACTGTCAGCAGTCGCCCTAGGCTGGAAGAGGCAAGGATTCTTCCTCAGAGACTTCAGAGTGAGAAGGGCCTTGCCAACACCTTAATTCCTACTTCTCACCACCAAAACTGTGAAAAAATTCTTCTACATTATATAAAAAAGTTACATGGAAACTTTACAACTCACAGTAACTGACGTTTAACAGCCAATTAGACTTAGTTGAAGAGAATGATTGGAAGATAGATAAAAGGAATAAAGACATATAAGGAAAGAGTATTAAATAAGATGCAATTTACCAGTGATTAAAAAATAGATACTAAACCTGAAGTAACTGAAGTCTAATAAAGAGTATGCAACAACAAAAAAATCAGTATTTTTTTTAACAATCAGTACTGTAATAGAGAAATATTATTGAAAGCTTTCTCTTTGAAATTGGGAGTAAGATGCCCCCTGACCCCAACTTGGTTCAGCACCATGTTTTCTAATGATTAAAAAATGAACTTACCTAAGCAAGCAACAGGGTAAGGCTACGAAAAGAAAAAAGTACCTAAGGATTAGAAAGAAATTAATCAAACTGCCATTATTTGCAAATGGCAGGACTTTGTACGTTAAAAATTCACAGAATCAGGACCTCTGTAGTGATCCAGTGGCAAAGACTCGGCACTAACAATGCAAGGGCCTGAGCTGGATCCCTGGTCAGAGAGCTAGATCCCCCATGCTGCACCTAAGACCCTTCACAACCAAATAAAGAAAAAAAGAAAATCCAAAGAATCTACACTTAAATCAGCGTAAGCATTAGCAAGACCACAAAAGTCAACATAAAAAAAAAATTTTTTTTTTTAAATCCTGCTATTTCTAGTGCCAGGAACAAAACTTACAGCAAAAGTAAAAGGCACCATTTAAAATATAATAAAATGCCTAGAAATAAGTCTAACAAAGTATGTCCAAGAATTCTTACACAAGATCTAAAAAAACTGTTAAAAGAGCCTCAGGATTTGATGTGTCTGCCAACACTCGGAGCAAGAGGGGGATCTTAGTGCAGGGGGAGCACAGTAGCTCCAGTAGCTTTTTGAATGGTAAACGGCTCCTGCTACAGAGGAAGTGTTGATTCCTATCACACAGGCGGCTGAGCAGTCACCATGTAGTGAGACATCAGAGACGCCACACAAAACCATTAAGTGATTCCTGGATGGTGAAGCCTGTTCTGTCCTTTCCAGCAGGGCAACTTGCAGAAACCCTGCAGACTGCTAGTTCACCTGGTAGTTCGGTAGCAGCATTGTTTTCAAGTCAAGTAAGATTTCTCCAAAATCCAAAAGGTCCTGCCAAAATTTATGCTTCTTTCTTGGTGAGGCAGTGTTTTGACTTTTCCATTGGAGGAAATGTCAGTTTTGCCCAAGGCCTGAAGTCAGCAAATATGTCCTATAAAGGCTCAGAGTAAAAATCTGCTAGGCTTTGTGGGCCACATGGTCTGATGAAACTACTCATCTCTTGGCAGAGGTTAACACAAGAGCAGCCTATACAAAATAAATGAATGCAGATGGCTGTGTACCAGTAAAACACTATTTACAAAACAGGTCCAGATTTGGCCCGTGGGCCCTAGTTTGCCAGTTGCTGCCCAGGAGTATTATACTAGACCCTAAAAACGTCCTTGACACAGCAGAGCCCTAAATTCTTCCATGCACTACCACACAGGTGTCTTGCCAAGACCATTGAGTGGATTTGGCAAGGTGATCAGTCTCCAGAGGGCAGGAGTTACCAGCCAACTGATGACAATGTCCATGTTATAAGGTCATTAAAAAAAATCTTTTGCTTGATGCCAACTCAGAATGTATTCACTAGGTCAGGGGCTTCTCAAGTTCCAGAGGCTTATCTTTCCAGCAAACACATCACATTAAGCACTGAGCTGCAACTGAGACAACTGCATGGTTAAGTTCCTGGTTGTTTGCTTTCATCTGCTGGAATCCATCTGCTTTCTGGGGACCAGACACACAAATAAGGGCTAGGCTTAACCTCTTCAAGCCTTGGAATACGGCTCTAACCCCACACGTTGCAGACATCACAATCTCTGTTCACTGTCTTGGATGGGGGAGCGCTGAGAGGTTCCTCTTAGCCTTTCCTACCACTATGACTTCACAAGGACCCAAGTGTGTTTCCGGGTGGGGAAAAACCTAATAGCTGCCAAGGATACCCCTTCCTACTCACACATGGAGATAACCTGAGGAGTCTTCACCAGTTTAATCCAGTGACATGAAACGTGGGCCTGTGAATCCGTATCACCTGGCCTTCCTATGCTCCCACTGTAACAGAAGTTGGCATTGGATGCCTACTTCTAGACTACCAATGCAACAGCATATGAGATTTGGGTCACTTCTTACCCTTGGCCTCAGAGGATAAGACGTATACCTAATCTTTACTACACACATTGTTGCAATGCTGCCAGGCCCTTCCTCCACTTCATCTGATGGTCCCAGGGCCTGAGACCTGGCTCTGTTCTGAAAAGACTCTAATTTTTCAATCTGCTTTTTGCTCACATAAAGAGAAGCAACTGCTGGGAGCAAAAGCAGACACCTCAGAACTGCGCCTGCAGGACCCTGACACACATAGGTGTTAGCCTCACCACAGATGTGGCAGGGTCAAGGTTCCTTAACTGCCTTTCAGGCTTTGCTGCCCATTCATCCAATTGTTTCCACTTCCTCTCTTCCAGAATTGCACATCCATCCTCCTCAACACTCACAATCTCTCCCTCCTATAGGTCAGTCTCCAAGCTTCAATTAAAAGGGCTCCAAAAGTGCTTACAACTTATACACTCAGTCCTAATACTTGTGTAGTTTCCTTTACAAGGTTGGGTAAGTTGTAAACTTCCTTTACAAGTTCGAAGGCCAAGGCACATTTGAAGTTTTCCCAGTGTTTGACAAGACTAGAAAACAAGTGCAGCATTTTGTACTGCAGGTCTATTATTAAGAATAGATTTGAGATTTAACCTTAACTGGGGTTCCCTGCCATCAAACTGATTCATCAAAATGGAAACCATTTTCGGGCAGGCTAGATTTGGCTTACCAACATTTTCTCATTCCTGGAGCAGACTCTGAGACAGATTTTCTTCATATCAAACCACATACCTCAGGTGAGGTGACCAAGTCTTCTAGGAAGAGGCAGGTAACCACTGCAACTGCAGTGGGATTTATGGTCATCCAGCACATTCCGATTTCCTACCCCAGGTCCTTAGAGCCCACTCCATGTGCTGTGCTTAGTCAGTCTTGTCTGACTCTTTGCGACCCTATGGACTGGAGCCCGCCAGGCTCCTCTGTCCACGGGAATTCTCCCAAGTAAGGCGGGTTGGTTGCCATGCCCTCCTCTAGGGGCCCTTCGCAACCCAGGGATCAAACCCAGGTCTCCCACATTGCAGGTGGATTCTTTACCATCTGAGCCACAAAGGAAGCCCACTCCTTCCATATTTGAACCCTTAAATTTGCAAAGATCTACAGGGAATAAACACACTCCCTGAAACTTCACTGCTCTATTAAACCATCGCCTTTTCATTGCACCCTGGCATTCCTGGGTGATGTTGCCACTGTTTATCTTTGCCATGAGTCTGCAGACCACTGGTGGGAAGAATGACAGGGTGGGGCCATTAAGCTCAACAAAGTTAGGAAAGGCCTAAGGCTCTCTCTAGTCTACCTATAGACTTACTAGATCTGGGCTACGCTGTTCAGTCACTAAAGTGGAAAAATAAAGCTGAGAAAATGAACACCCACGAAGTGAAATTCTCTCACGTTAAAGTCTTGATAGTGTTTAATGTGATTGTAATGCTGTGTGCAGAGCTACCTGAAATTTAAAATTTGCTTCCCACTCCTAGATAAACAATTTTCTACCAACTATTTGGATGTAGGTCTCAAACTTCAGAATATGCATATCCTGCAATAACCAGTAACTGTAACCTATAGTGTCCTATAGAAATAATCATAAATATGGGAGACTGTGCCAAACAGCACATCTTATATAAAACCATAAATTTTGGCTAATGACTCAATGTATGTAGCACCAAAAACTAAAGACCCCTAGCTATGAATAGGTGCCACCCTGGTATAAAGGGAACAGCAGGATATTACAAGTGGCTGATGAATAGAATAAAAAGTCACAGGAAAACTGGAACTCTATGTTTCTAGTCACCATTTCCACTCATGTTTAATGTTTTTAAATTTGATTTTTAATTTAGCCTTGTTTTAAGAACACAAGGGAAATCATAGTGCTAAATTTAAAATTCACACTGTAACACAGCAGTATTAAATTCAACCACCCAACTCATTTTGCTATTTGTTGGTGAGTATATAGTCTGTGCCAGTCATTGTGAAAAAGTCTTTTTATTTTAAGAAAAAAATTTAGTTAACAAAAAAATTTAACAAGTTTCACTTAGCAAAATACACCCGAAAGGAAATCACAGTACAAAGAAAGTTTTTTTAAGTCAAGGCCTCACCAATTCCTACAGTATTAGTAATGTGTCTCAAATTTCAAAACTAACTTTTAAAAAGCTTAAACTTAACCTAAGAGATTTTAAATGAAAATAAACTAGAATGAACAAACATGAGAAATGTCCTCTTTGAATTAGGGATCTAGCACCTTGAGTTTTCCAAAAAAGCACACCTCCCCAATGTGTTCACAATGATGTGGTGTAAAAGATCCACATTTAACATACTTAAAACTACTTTAAACTCAGATAACATCACTCCAGAAGTACACTACCAAAATGTTAATTGAGAAAAGCTGAAAATAGTTTTAGTTTACTCAATATCACATGCTAGAAGAAAGTTTGCATGAGAAAACACTGAAGAGGTAATTTTTTAATCCAGATTTCACAAACTCATGGTGCAAAATGGGTCCCATAGCTTTCTCTAGAATAGTAACTGCTTTTCACTGCTTGTTGGCTGCCTGTGAAAATTTGACTGAAATAACTCAAAAGCTACTACAAAACTAGTCATATCCACCCATGCTGTTCTGGCCACCATAGCCAGCCCCGTAACAGCCACTCACAGACTGGCTCTCAAGGCCACTGTAAGTGGACTGGGTTGACACCCCCATGCCTTGCATCATCTGGCTGCTATATGCCCCATTGCTGGCCCCAGTTGTGGAATTCAAGAAAAGTTCTATGTATCTATGTTGCATGTTGGCCCTGTCTTTGGACATGGCTGCCACGGCTTCTTCGTGAGTGGCAAACTCAACATCAGCTTCGCCGGTCACTCTTCCATCAGGGCCAATCTCAATGTGGACTCTCACAGGGTTGAGCGGGGAGAAGAAGTTGTAAATGTCGTTCTCTGTAGCTTTGTAGGGCAGCCCTCTCATGTGGACGCAGTGTCCAGTGGTGCTCTGGACAGTGAACTCGCCATCTCCATACCGGTGATCATACATCCCAGAGAGACAGTAACTGAGGTCTCTCCCAAACAGGTCGGTGGTGAAGCCGTAGCCATCACTGAGGCCGCTGTACTCCTCATAACCCCCATAGCCTGCACTGTAGGCCCCAGACCTCATCCTCTCCAGGCCTGCCTGCTTGACGATGCCAATATACCTCCTGGCTGTGCCAGGGCGGTCATAGGGCCCTGGCCGCTGCACTGACATGAACTTCAGTGGGGGATCCGAGTATGACCTAACTTCTTCCTGACTGCTCTTGAACACCTCAATATACCTGTGCCCTATTCTCTCCTTGTGCTTCCCTAGGGCCTTCTCTGCTAACTCCTGTGAGGCAAACTGCACAAAGGCTTCCCCTGTAATCTTGCCCTCGGGGTCCACAGGCAATGTGATCCCGTTTGGCACGATTTCCAACCCTGAGAAGAACTGAATGATCTCTTCCTTGGTGCATCCAAACGGGAGTCCTCGAAGTCGCACGAAACCATCGTTGGCAGTGTCAGCACTGTTTGGACCACTGTGCTTCAACACCCAATCCATCTCGGTTCTGTGGGACTTGAACACTTCAATGTACCGATGTCCCATGCTTTCCCTGTCTTTTTTAAGGGCCAATTTTACATCATCTTCTGATTCAAGTTCAACAAAAGCCTCACCACTCTGCCTGCCTTCTCTAGTGTAGATAAAATGAACACCTGCGACCCCGTCATGGATCGTGCAGTCGGAGAGGAAATTCTGCACATCCTCAACAGAGCAGGACCAGGGCAGGCCACGGAGCTTGACCACAAAGCCTTCACCTCCCTCAGGGCCCAACATCATGGACACTCGACAGAGCAGACGTCAAACAAGCTCGGGTGCAGCTTTGTGTGGCTGAAAAGAAAGCAAAAACTACTTTACACACAAATTTTCACTTAATATGTATAACAAGAATATGGAACTAAAGAAAAACAAGATTATATTACTGCATTACTAAAGTAAAAGGCAAGAGAGTAGGTAGGAAGTCCCACTGTCTGTTCAAAATCCCAATCAAGTGTGCGGTCATATCCAAACAAACAGGTAAGTCCATCAGCAGAGTATCAGTTATATGTGATGCAAACATAGAAATCAAATTATGTGCTTCTCAGTTTCACACTGCCATGGCTTGGGTTCAGTCCCTAGTCCCATAAGCAGCACAGCATGATCCCCCCAAAAAACAAAACACATTATGTTGTTCAATGTTACACATACTTCTCTGTGTTTCACTGAGGGACTAGAAAGGGAATAAACTCTTCATTGTACAAGAAGCATGACAGGTGCCCCTCCTAAGAGAGTGCCAGGAAGTTTAAGTGGCATCTGACACCCAGAGTCCAAGCTGAAAAAAGAGTAAAGGTCAAATCCATGTCGAAGGGCAGCATTCTGAAGAGCAGGAGCTGAGTCCAACACCAATATATGAATAACATAGACAATAAAGATACAGATAGGGCCAAAAATATATTCAGAACAGGCACAAGTATACAGAAGTTGTTTTATGAAATTGTCATTTGATATCAAGTATAACAGATGTAGCTATTAAGTCAGTGGTAAAAGATGCCTTTTCAAAAAAAATCTAGGCATAAAAAGATAAAACAGAATCTTACCTCATATGAATCCCAAAACTATCTCTAATGGCATGGTGTATTTATACTATTAGAGCAAAACATGGACAGATGTCTAAAAACGCCACAATTAAAACTAGAAAGCATGAAGGGTAAGAAAAAGAAAAGTAAATCGCTTTAATAGAGACCTGGTGAAGCTAATCCGAGCAAGTTTTAGAAATTTATAAACAAAGGAGTTGCTTCTTCTGTAGCTGAGCTCTTATCTGTGGCTCTGCTCTGGTCAACTCCACCCACCCCAAGCAATCTCCCTCTTCACACTAACTTCACTGAACACTATTTTCCTTATTAAGATTTCCTCATTTCTAATCGCCCCCTTAGATACATCTTTCCTGATACCAACTTTGCCTCCAGCTACTTGGTTTTGCTTTCCCTTTCAGTGAAATCTCATCCTCAAAAAGGCTTCTTACATGCCCCACCCTACCCCACCAAACTAGTGGGACATCTCACTCTGCCAAGGACCTCCACGGCAAGAAAAGAAACATTTTCTTATCTCCATCTCTTCTGTGCCCACAGGATTTAACCATTCTCTCTGGAAATCCTTTCTTCTCTTGGCTCTTGGTTTTCCTGTTAATTCCTTAGGTACTCTGCCTCTTCCCCAAGGTTTAACCATACACAATCACTGGTCCCCTTTTTACAGGCAACCTCACCTGTTCCTTTTGTGTCCAGGGCCAATTCTGGGTTCCGGACACACAAGTTCCTAGACTTAGACTCCCCAAGGCCAAGACTGGCCTAGACAAACTCCATTCCATAGTTCAACCTATGTACCACAAATGAACACCGCTGTTTTCTGAAACTCTTCTACAGTACCCTGGTTGCAGCATAAATGGCCTTACCTGTCACCCAAAAGCTCTAGAATGAAACTGAAGCAATCTTTGAACAACTTGAAAGCCCTTAAGTCTAATGAGCTCATCGTTTCTTTAGGGGGTGATCCCATTCTCCACCCTAATCCTATTCCTAATCCATGAATAGAATTCCTAATTCTATTCAGTTAACTCTCGACTCCCAACAAATATAAGGTTTCTCATATCTTTCCTTGGTCCCTAGCACACTGTTTGACGTTATGATTTGAATATCAAATCATCAACATCTCTGGGCATCACCTTCATCCCTTTCTAGTTCCTGTACCAACAAGCCCTTTCCAAGACATTCACATCTGCAACTTTTCCTATCCTTTGTGCCAGCCCAACCTGTAGCTGTTTTAAGAGTAATTTTATGTCACTCTACTGTTTCAACACCTCAGTGGCTCCCCACTGTCTTGAACACAAACCACAGGGCCAAGGGGGTGCTCAGGCCTTGAAACTTTGACCTGAAACACACTTGCATTAGAAAGCAAACAAACCTCTATTTCTGTATTTCTCTGTGCCTGAAATGTGGCAGGCTCTCTGCTCCACTGGAACTGACACACGTAGTAATTATGTCAGAAGATAGCCCACCCAATCTTCTGTCTAGCTAAATCCCACTAATCCTTAAGGTCTCAGCTTATACTTACCAACTTTTCCACAAAACTTTCTCCCTGCCCCCCACCCCCAAACAAATTAAATCTATAGTTCTACGATCCAGAGCATTCTAGGTAAACAATTCATAATTTGTTTAAAACTCTTTGCAACTGCGTTGAGAGGCTCGCAGCAACAACTTATCTGTTCGGTAGGTCACTGTAGTCCTACTCCCAGCACAGCGGGCCCAAGATTAGCAAGAGATTAATTGATGGCCACGTGGGGCCAACATCACCTTCTAGAATATGGCAGTCTGGTTAGGTTAAAAAAGAGGAGCAGAAGGGGGGAAAAAAACACAGGAAGCATAAAAGAACAAATATTTCATGTAAGAATTAAAGTGCCCAAAACAGAAATTATAAAGTGAAGAGCACTTTTCCAAAACACGTATGTATTTCTAATAAAGCAATATCCTTACTTTGGACCTCAGAATCCTCTACATTTGGATTCTTCGCAGACTTTCAGTACTTAGAACATTAACTAAAAGTTGTGAAAATAAGAAATGACTTTCTGCTCAACATTAGATTTACAGCTAATGAAAAAAAAAAAAAAAAACTTCACTGAAGAAGTTTCTGCATCAAGAAATCAATCATAAATTGAGAATTAATTTTCTTAAAATAGCTCACCTTAAAGAACAGCGGGGGATGCCCACAGTCGAAGACACTCCAGGTAGGTAACGAATCGTCCTAAAAAAGAGCGACAAGGATATCTTGTCTTAATGCCCCAGCACTCCCGGAGAGAGCAGAGACAGCAATCCCCTGGCTGAGACCGGCTCTGAGCTCCTCTCCGAAGTCAGAGCCGAGGCAAGCCGTTTTTAAGCGCTGGGTTGCCTTAAAGTAGGTACACGCCCGCCCCACCCCAACAGCTTTGGAAAGGTTTACCTTTTTCAAAGGTAATACAGGGAATAACAGCCTGGAACCCTCCCACTTGCCCTGAAAGATTTACTCAGAAGGCGCATTCCGTACAGAAAACCCTAACCGCGGTAAGAAAATTTAAATACCGAGTGGGAGGCGCACCTTCTGGGCGGGGCTGGGGCGAGGAGCGTTCCCGGAAGCAGAAGGCGGGCCGGGGAGAGGCGCTGCTGATCGGCACTAGAGACTAGGCCCTGTTCACAGTGCTCCAGGCAAAAGTAGTTTGCTATAAACTGTCGTAACAGTATTTACAATTTGCAAACATCCCTGGAGGTCTGGGTGGAGATATTAAAAGGATTTTCCTTCCCCTGTTTTTAATAACTTCATTTCTTGAGACCTGTATTTGATCTAACACTGCTCTCTTATCTGAGAAAGAATGAGGGGAAGTAGTGTTTAAATGTTTTAAAATAGGAAAAACATTAATCTACCATCAACCACAGAATAAAGCTGTCCGCAGACTTCGGTATGTGCAGCGAATTCGTTAAAGCACATTCTTAGTTTTAGAACCGTAGAATTGTGAAAAGTCAGTTTCCCTGAGCCTGTTGTAGACACAGTATCTGTTTGTCTTGCATCCTCTGTTACATGAGATACTAGTTTGGGGAGCAAAGCCTATATAAAGTACTACAATTTAAGAGTTTTTTAACAGTTTCAAATTCTCGAGACGAGGGTTTTCAAGAGGCTTCATCAACTGTCCCTCTCCTCTACTCTCTATTTAGAGTAGAATCTAAAGAGTGGAGCCCGGTCATCTTAGTGGTCTGAACTCCTTGCTTGGGTTTTATCATCCTGCTGCCTTACCTGCTCATTCCAGTGTGGTCCGCAGACCAAAAGCCCTTGCTCGGACATGCAAACCCAGGGGCGGTCAGACGCGAGGAAAAAGATTCCCAAGTGGCTGAACCATGGCGCACACATGTTCAAGCGTTAAGGATATACACTGGTCTCCCACCCGGCTCCCCGACAGCCCGTCGACACCACTGAGGCCAAGTGTTACAAACACTACTCTTGGGTCCAGCACCTGGAGACTGATTTTGCACAACTCCATCCCCCTGCCCACTACAGGTCTATGACGTAAGTGTGCACAAGGACCACCCAAGGATCTTGTTAAAATGCAGATTCTAAAACAACAGATCTGGGCAGGGGCCGAAATTCAGCATATCTAATTGCTCCCAGGAGGTATTCCAGAACGAGTTCTACCTCACTCTATAATATACTGGTTAGGCAGGATTTAGTTCAGATCCAGGTAGCCACATCGAGATAAACAGGGCGCACCTCCAGCGCCCGACTGATTAGGTTTATCTACGAAGTACACAGGGCGGCTGAAGCTGCGCCCCCACCGTTTCTATTCAGGGACGGGAACTCAGCAGCTCCCTGGCTTCACCCTGCTCTATCCGTGTCCCAGTGGAGCCTGAGAAGCATTTTCGCCCTTACTTGTAAAGGAATTTTAACCTACAGCTGCCAACACGCACAGACCGCAGTGGCTGTCTTAATTAATCAGAAAGTTCTACCTCTTAAATCACAGTCCGCGGGAGACGCCGCCTCAGGATTACGCAGTTGACTCTGCCCTAAAACTTACCGCTGAAGAAAGGAGGACCGATTTCTATTTTCAACCAGCAAGCGCAGTTTACAGCCAAAGGACCCCCAACTCCACCCGACGCTTAAAAACGGAGAAGATTCCGCAGAAAGGCCAGGTGCACCTCCTTTTGTTATTAACCTGAAATTGAAACTCAACTGGCTGGGGGCAAACGCTTCGTACCAGGCTTGAAAGTGCGCTCTCAAGCTCGCGGCCACGGGCCGCCAGGGGCGCGTCTGAGCGATTTCGGCGGGAAGCGCGGTATCAGTCCCGGACGCTAGGCTGCTGGCGGGGGAACTGGGACGTGAAGGGATTCGCTCGGCCTCCAACCGCCGATCCGACAGCCTTGGGTCGGCAAAGCCCTACAGGAAGGCCCAACGACAGGGCGCCCCATCCCCGGGCCTGGGCGGGGTCAGCGGTAGCTTCCGGGGCGGGGCGAGCTACGGGTGGGGGGAGGGAGAGGCTCGCCAGGCCGGGCGAGGTGGGGGGAGGGGAAGGTCACGAGACTTAGGCTCCTGGGGCCCGAGGTGGGAGGGGGCTCCCAGGGCAGCGGGGACTCACTAGGGTGGCAGTTTTCAGGCCGGTGAGAGAGGCGAAAGTGTTCGCGAAGTGGGAAAGAGTTCTCCTCCCCGGGCTTCCCGGAGGCGCAGGGGAGGGAAGGCGGAGCTCCCTAATCCGAGGGGCTCCTGGAGCCGCGAGGAAGAGTTCCCGGGACCCGAGGCGGGGGCGGGCGGTTCCTGGAGCTGGAGGCGGAGCTCCCGGGTCGGGTCGGGGGGACTTCCTGGGGACGCAGGGTAGGTGGGGGAGGGGGAGTTCCTGGGGCAGCAAGGAGAGGGCAGAAAGAGTTCTTGGGGTAGAGAGCGGCTGCGCGGGAGGAGGTAGGGGAGTTCCCGAGACGCACGGGGGCTGGGGGGAGTGCGGGCGGGGGTCGTCCGCTGGCGGCGGCTCACCACGACGGATCCGGGGCCTGGAGTGCGGAAGGCCGGCGCACGGGGCTGCGTCCCGAAGGCAGAGGCCGCGTGACTGGGAGGGCGGCGAGCCGGACGTGGGTCACGGGGTGTAAAGGAGGAAGTGCCACCGGCGGGCCCGCCAAGATGTCACCAATGGAAACGCGTCCTGCAGGTGCGGCCGCGCGGTCGGCCAAGGCAGGAAGTGGGAGGAGGGAAGGAAAGCAACGAGGAAGACCGTTCTGAGTGAGCTCTCAGGAGAGGTGCCAGGGTAGAGAAAAGTCCAGAGTACGAGCGGAGGGGAGGGGAGGAGTGGCCGGCACCGCTCTTAAGGCAGGAGAAACCGTAAAATTAAAACAAAAACACAAACTCTTTAAGGCAGGAAAGAATTCCGAATGAAAACTAATGAACAAAAGGTAGAACACTCTTTGTGTGTGTGTATGTATATATATACAGCACCTTGTTTTGTAGATTTGAGCAGTCACGTAATTATTTTTTTCAGTTTAAAAGGATTAATTTTAAAACTTGCAATTCTTAAAACTTTACAACCTAGCAAACAATTAAGCAAACAATTACATTTTATGAACACTTGAATCTTAATTCAAATGAACTGGAAAACAATTATAAGGCAACTGCAATGTTAGCAGTGACTTGAATTTATATGAAGAAACTAAAATTTTAGTTGTAGCTTTGTTGCTGTGATTTCTTTTAAGTCGTTAAGAGATTCATATGATTATCTAGACTCTGTTTCTAAATAATCTGAGTGGTGGGAGTCAGTACGGACGAAACAACATGGGCCACGATTTAGTAATTATTGAAGCTGGGGGGATGGGTACATGGCGTTTTATACTATTGTCTTTACTTTTGTGTATGTTTAATACTTTTAGTAATAAACTATCTTTTAAAGTCTAAGAATCTGCTTACTAGAGATAACAAATTACAGAATTTATAGAGAAAAAGGAACCGTACTAAATGAGAATGTAATAATGCAGTTTGCAGACTGGGAAACTGGATAAGCACAATAGTCTGTCCTTCACCAAGATAGCTTTCAAGGGAGCACTTACTGAATAAAAGAAATTTAAGAGAATTATCAAGGATTCACAATATATGGGAAATATATGGATCTTGATTCAAACAAATTGGTAAATATAGGACAATTTTGGAAATACCTGAACACTGCCTAGAAATTTGATATTGAAGTATTTTACTTAGGTTACAGAATTAGTTATCCTAGATACATTTTTAAATATTTGTGGGTGATATGGTGTGATGGCTGGGATCTGCCTCAAAATTACCTCTAAAAAAATTATCTCTAAGTAGAAAGTAAATGGGGGATGTAAAGAAAAACTGTCCACAACTGGTAGCTATTGAAGCTGGGTGATAGGATTTAAAATGCAGCTATCCCACGGAAATGAGAAAGACACTAAAAACTCATACATTCAAGAGAGAATATTCTCAAGAAAAATTAAGCCACAAAATTGGTTTGTTTGGGGAAAGAGTTACCTACACAAATGAGTACCCTGACTGCTTCCTGAGCATTTATTTCACTTTTTTTGTCACTTCCTAAAATCCTCTTCAAAACATATTCTTGGTAATTTACATGACTGACATCCGTTTTCTCACTTTTTTCAGTGTATTTGTTTCAGTTTAGTAGTGTTATATATGCTTTCTTGGCTTAACCTGGTTGATGACACTGGCTAGCTGAGTGTTAATAATTGATCAGTCACGATAGGGTTCCTGCCCAGTGAAGGAACAACATGTACAGAATACACAGGGCAAAGTATTGGGACAGAAAACACCCAAAAACACCTGCAGCCAGGACTGAGATCAATGAGGGCAGCAGAACAAGATTCCCCCAAAGCCCTGAAGGCCTGATACCTTATTGTGGGCTTTATTTACTTTAAGACCAATGGAAAAGAGTTTTGCTTTCCAAGAGAACAGTCTAGCTGCTCTCTGGAAGGAATGATGGGAACAGATGCATGGAAACTAGATGGGAAGAAATAAGACAAATTTTGGAAGAATTGATGGTACCCTGCAACAAAAACATTGTAGTGGAAACTCAAGTGTGTCAAAGGATCTGAGTGATATGCAGCAGGATAAAATTTACTCAATCTCAAGTCATTCATTAACCCAGAAATATTGTGCACTTACAAGATGCAGGTACTGTGCTAAGTCCACAGAATGGTGGACTAGGAATCAATACAGAATAAACATCTGATGACAAATTATGAAATAAACCCAAATTAGAAAATGGGGGTTAACTCATATAGGGATTCTGAGGCAGTGATATTTAAACAGACAGATGCATGAACAGGGGTAGAAATGTTAAAACGTTATTACCCTGGTATACAGGTAAGATTTAAAAGTATAAGTTAGTAGACCATGTTTTCTATTTTTCCTTTGTACATTACCTACTTATTTCCCCCTGGATACTTGTTCAAATTATTTATATTTTTAAAATGCAGTCATTTGTTAGGATATGCTTTGGTGTTAGTTGCTTTGTAAAAATTTATAATGGAAAGGAATATGAAAAGGTATAGAGAGCTGAATCACTTTTCTGTACACCAGAAACTAACACAATATTGTATATTAACTTCAATTAAAAAAGAGAAAAGCTACAGATGGGTGATTAAAATACACTGACACTTTAAATGTTTGCCATTACATTTTCATATGTCAAAGAGGATATGTCATAATTTGAAAGCAACAGGAAGGCTGTTTTCCATTATCTTTAGACTATTAGGCTATTTACCTTACTGTAGCTAAGCCTGGGGTAATAATACACTGTTTTCCCCAGTGTTCATTTATCAAAAGCTGTGTTAACTAAAAAGCAAAAATAGTGTAATACAGTGCTAGGAAAATCATATCTGTAATGTTTGTGTTGAAATGATCATTATCTATAGTGTCTGTATTGAAATGAACACAAGGAACAATTTTTTAGCCAACATAAAACAAGAAGTTGTTCCATGATATTGACTGCATTTTGTTGCTGACTCAAGGATCAAGATCTAAACTTAGAACAGAAAAAAATATCAGGTGTGGCAGTTCATAAAAAAAAACACTAGATCTCCAGTGCTAAAATCTGTTCTCAACAGAGGGAAATATCTATCACCTGTATTAACAAATGCCCACAGTCCATTCAGGAGGCCTGGAACTTCCTCGTGGGACTAGGTCAGATCACCTGCAGCTGCCATAGGAATGGAGGCAGTTAAAGCTCCTGGTGCTCAATGTTCACTGCTCACGACCACAAGCACACTATGCCAGGCGAGTGGAGAACAGAGCCAAAGAGCAGCAAAGGACAGGGCTATGTACCTGAAAGGGGCTCCAGCATCAGTAATACAAGTCAGGCAACAGCTTAGAACGGTTTTCTAGGAAAAGTACTGCACTAAACTTTAGTAAATATTTTAACAGAAAAAATTCAGATACTTGAATACAGAATGAAACATTTTCCAGTGCTAAAAACTGAGTTTTGATTTATGGTCAATAATGGAAGAAAGGTTAGTGGCTTGGAAAACCAAATAGAAGAAATAAGCTCAAAACAAAGGGGAAAAAAAAAGAAAACAAGGGGGAAGAGATGAAATTCAGAGAACTCACATAATAAGAGACAGGACAGAAGAAACAACATGTGAATGATAGGAATTGCAGAGTAAAAAGACAAAACGGAGGCAGAAGAAGAGATAAAGAATGGAAGGAAATCTTCCTGGCTTAAGATAAACTCTGTTGTGTAGTTCCCCAGATACTTTAAAAACACACAGACCAAGCATATGTTGGTAAACTCCTACATTTAAAGCACAAAGGAAAACTGCTTTGAAAAAAAGAACAGGTTAGGTACAAAGGATAAAAATACAGTAGCCCGTAGCGCTTGAAATGTGGCAAGAACAAACTAAGTGTCCCAAGTGATAAAATTTAGTACATATACAATGAATTGCAGGGAATTTCCTGGTGGTCCAGTGGTTAGGATCCCACTTGCTTGCTCACTTGCTGAGGGTGAGGGTTCAATCACTAGCTGGGAAATTAAGATCTCAGAAGT